CCCCAAAACCCCAAAACCCCAAAACCCCACAATGAAGATTTATTCAGAAATAAATTGTAGTCATTTCTAAGAGGTAGATTAATAATTAATTAGAGAATGCGCCAATACTCATTAACATTCATCATACTATTAGTAGTTATTAGTCTATCAAAAGATATTCTTGCCCAAAGTTAGACAGATTCTTCTTTAGATTTTGTCCTAATTGGAGATTATGGCAATTTTCAAACCAATGTGGGTCTATCTGACAGGAATTTCGATTTTATTGATAGATTCATTGCTTAGAATACTGATAAAGTTGATGGAGTCATTCTTTTGGGTGATAACATGTATGGCTCTAACAAATTTAATCCAACCTTAAATGAGCGCACAAAGATGATAGATTTATTCAAAACAAGATCTCATCTTTCTCAGCAACCTTTATATCATGTGAGAGGTAATCACGACTTTGAATATCCTTATGATTATTACCTGTAATACTCACTGATGCATGCAAACTGGCTACCTAGATATAAATGGTATTCTGAATCATTCACTCTCAAAGATGATTAGAAAAAGAAAGCTTTATTCCTCTTTATTGATACTGATTTGATATTTTGTGCCTATAATATAAAGAGGATGGCAAATTGCACAGTATCAGATTAAGAGGAATACATTCTTCAAGATTAATGGCTTACGTAAGAGCTGGCTAATTCTTAAAATGATACTTCAATTATTTGGAAGTTTGTAGTAGCTCATCATCCTATTTTTTAAAAGTAGGAGTTAGACGAGCTAGTCTTAGTTATGGACCTACTACATAATTTTATGAAATATAAAGTGGATTTCTACTTAAATGGGCATGAGCATATGCAGTTGCATGCTTTCTTTGAAAGAGACATTTAAAAGCACAATTCAGAACTAAAGTACAATGATTTTTATGACAATCTTTCCCTTAAAAATAGATCAAATATGAACACTAACTATTTTTGGAGAAACACTACAACGTTTACTCAGAGACAAAGCCTAGATCAAGGAATATTGACCTTTAAAAAAAGTGAAAATCTTTTGCATCAGGTAATCGATGGATCTGGCGGGAAAGATATGCACTTTTCAAATTAGAACTAGAGATCAAGGGGTCAATACTCATTTATTTAGAGTCAGTATTTTGGTTTCACTCATTTAAAAATTACAAGCAAGGAGGTAGAATTTACATTCAAGTCTTCTGAATTCGCTCACTTCCTAAATGGGCTATCTTCATCTTTTATACCTAATGCTTTTGATTAAATGAAAATCAAGGTTATCAATGATTTATGATGATCTAATCAATCTATTACCCCACTATACTTATTTATTATTTAATCTACTTTTTTAAATGTTGAATTCAAACGTTAAAGAAAGGGGTTTTGGGGTTTTGGGG